ATAAGAGTTGAAACCCTTACCTCACACCATATACAACAATCAACCAAAGCAGAATCAAAGACTAATTATAGGAGCTGAAACTATAAAACTCTGTGAAGAAAAAATACTGATACAGCTTTGTAACCTTGGGTTAAGCAATGCTTTTTTAGATATGAAACCATAAGCACAGGCAACAAAAGAAAAGATAGAGAAATTGGACATAATTAAACTTTAAAATGTGTGTGTCAAAGAACACCATCAAGAAAGTGAAAAAAACAACTTAAAGAATGGGAGAAAATATTTCTCCAAAGAAAATATAAAAATGACCAATAAGCACACAAAAAGATGTTCAATATCATTAGCCATCAGGCAAATGCAAATCAAAACCACAATGAGATAATACCTCATACCTACTAAGATGATTATAATAAAAAAGACAGATAATAAATGGTAGTGAAATGTGGAGAAATTGCAACTCTCATACATTGCTGGTGGGACTATAAAATGGTGCAACTGCTGTGAAAAAGAGCTTGGTGGTTCCTTATAAAGTTAAACACAGAATTACCATATTATCTAGCAATTCTACTCCTAGGTATATACCCAAAAAATTAAAAACAGGGACTCAAACAGATACTTGTACACAAACATTCAGAACAGCATTATTCACAATAGCCAAAAGGTTGAAAGAACCAAAGTGTCCATCAACGGATGAATGGATAAACAAAATGTGTTATGTACATACGATGGAATATTATTCAGCCATAAAAAGAAATAAAGTTCTGATACATGATGCAACATGAATGAACTCTGAAAACATTATGCTAAGTGAAAGAAGCCAGACACAAAAGGATAAATATTATAATTCCACGTATACGAAATATCCAGAATAGGTAAATTCATAGACACAGACAGTAGGTCAGAAATTACTAGAGGAACTTAATGGGGAAAGGATACCCTCTTCAATAAATGGTGTTGAGAAAACTGGATAACCACATGCAGAAGAATGAAATTGGACCCCTATCTTACACCACTCACACAAATTAACTCAAAATGGATTAACGACTTAAACATAAGAAGTGAAACCATAAAATTCCTAGAAGAAAACATAGGAAGCAAGTTTCTGATATTGGTCTTGGCAACGAGTTTTCAGATATCACACCAAAAGTACAAATAACAAAAGCACAAATTAATAAGTAAGACTACATAAAACTAAAAAGCTGGGCCGGCCCTGTGGCTTGGTGGTTAAGTGCGCGCGCTGCAATGCTGGCGGCCCGGGTTCGGATCCCGGGTGCGCATCGAGGCGCCACTTCTCCGTCCAT